TCATTCCAAGGGAGACATTTCTTGTATCTTTTTAAAACAATCTAATTTTGCTCGTGTCTCTCGGTTTAACTGTTGCCATGTGTAAATGGAATTTTAGCTTTTTACTGACAGATCTCAGAGAGTGAAAATCAATGACTGTTTTTCTGATGTTGTTTCTGTGAGCACTGGTTCTCCTCAGGGATGTATTTTGAGTCCTTTGCTTTTTACTTTGTACACTCACGATTGTGTGTCCTCCTCTGACTCAAACTTGATCATCAAATATGCTGATGACACCACCATCATCGGTCTCATCAGTGACACTGATGAATCCTCTTATAGAGCAGAGATACAAAATGTGGTTCAGTAAAACTAACAACCTCCAGTTGAACGCATCCAAAACATGTGAACTGGTCTACGACTTCAGTCGCAATAGTTCTCATTTGCCTGTCGTAATCGACAACTCCCAGGTGCAGAGTGCAAGTTTCTGGGTTTAACTCTGTCTAACCTGAAATGGGTTAAAAATACTGACCGAGTCATTAAGAAAGCTTGTCAGCGTCTCTACTTTCTGCGTAAACTTAGAGAATTTACCACTAACTCCAAGATTCTGCTTAACTTTTATGGCTGCACCATTGAGAGTTTACTTGTTGGTTCTGTGTCTGTGTGGTTTGGAAACATCACAGATAAAGAAAAGAGAGCTTTAAACAAGGTGCTCCGCTCTGCAAAGAGGACTGTGGGCTGTGAGCTTCCTGTTCTGGAGGTTCTTTATAAATCCAGACTTTTAAACAAAGCTCTTAGGATTGTCAATGACTCTTCTGGCCACCCTGGAAAAGCCATGTTCCAGCTTCTTCCCTCAGGCAGAAGATATCGTTCTCTGAGATGCAGGACATCTCGTTACGCTAACAGTTTTTATCCACAGGCTGTTATCAGTTTGAACAGAGCACTTTAATGATTTGCACTTGTTTTGAAACTGTTTTAGTCGATCAATTTCACAGTGACATTTGTTTACTGTTTTATTAGTTTTATTTTTGTCTTTTATTGTCTGTATTTGTCTGTGCACACTGGAGACTTTTGCTAATGTATTCCAATGTGGTTTTTTTACTGCAAATGGCAAATAAACTGAATCTGAATCATTGGCAAATCTTGTTTTACGGCAGTCTAAATGTGCATAAATTATGATACATTTGACCAGGTTTGAGCAATTTTTGACTTATTTTTTCATCACTTTTTGCAGAGTATACTAGGCTAATGCACGGTCAAATGCAAAACTATAAATATACAACTTCGCTTTTTATTTATTCTCATTAAGTTGAAGCGTCTTCTAGTTTTCTATGAAATAGATATAAAAAATCCCAAGTATGTAAAACTGTATGTATTATTATCATCATTATAAATACAATCCTAGATTCCCCTTTAACTCGTACTATGTTAGTCTGTTTAGCTTGTACCAGTGCACTGTAACCTGCACATGTGATCAGCATGGCTAATTGCAATAAATACACTACATGACAGGATTAGGGTTGAATTAATCTTTGCCCATTTAAATTAATTAGAAATTTGCCCATGCAAGGCTGTAAAGTCAATAGCACATGTTTCAATTAAAGCTGAATCGCTCTTTCCGATCTTTTAATTGGACAGAAATGAACGGTGCAGGTTTATAAACTGGGTTTCTGGGCCACATTACCGCGTGAAGATAAGATTCTGACACTACTGCTTCAGATTATGACAATACGACAGTGAGGCCATGTGAGAAAGAGATATTTGTAAAGAGATGTGTTTTTTTAAAGTTTATTTTGGTTGGGACAGTGCATGGTAATGAACACACCACTCCGGATTGTAGCCTTGGACTAATCTCCATCTGTCGTCCCACAATTATACTCACAACCACAGACTCATTCATCCTGAACTACTGTACCTGTTTTTAGTGGTAGGGGAAACCGGAGTACCCGGAGGAAATCTATGCAGACACGGGGAGAACATGCAAACTCCACTCAGAAGGCCCCATTCTGACTGTGATTCGAACCCAGACTAACTTTCTCTGCTCAGACCTCTTCCCCTGTGACCTAGACACAGATTGCGGTGCCAACTGCATGTAGAAGCCAGATCTGGTCAGACCTCTGAAGTATAGGGCAGGGCAGGGCGTGGTTTGTACTGTGATGGGAGACCTCTGAAAACACCAGGTGACACAGAGGGACGAACGTGGCTGTGAAGTGCCAAACTGTTCACCCACATTGCCCAGAAAAATATCAGGTGCGTGTGTGAATGGTTGTTGGTGGTGGGAGGGGCTGATATCATACTCTGGTTACCTTGCTTTTGTTGAGTGTCCACAGCAGCGCTAAATAAAACCCATGCATTATTATTACAGCTAGATAAAGAAGAAGAAAATAGATGAATGGACTTTTTTTTTTTTTTTTTTAAGCATACAGATGTTATTCTCAAAAGTGTTTCCTTACGGTTCTCTAATGCAGGCAAACCTAATAGTTCCCTCCTTTGTGGATCATTCATTCATCCATTCACAAATATTTTCATATCTCCATAATCTAATGTGATCAAAGTGAAGTGTCAAGTCAGTCTCTTAGTCAAGTTAGTTTCCTATAGATCTCTTAACTAAAAGAATATTAACAATATCTCTGCAGCGTCATAGGGTTTGAGTTGATTATTCTGAGATAATTACAACAACTCCGTAAACTGATTTCAAACAAACTGTCCAGAAGTTCAGTGGAGTAAAAAAAACTTGTTATTTTTATATAAGTCACGGGAAACTCATCAGTTGTCATCTCCCGAGTGCAAAGCGACGATGAGTGAGAGTTTCTGAGTTTAACTTTGTCAAATGACTTGAAATGGACCAAAAACACTAATTGCATTGTTAGGGAAGCTCGTCAGTGTCTCTACTTTCTGCAGAAACTTGGAGAACTTATAAATAAAAGTTTGATTGTGGATTCGATGACTGTGTGGTTCAGCAACATTCTGGGCAAAGAAAAGGAAACAAGGTGGTCCGCTCTGCAAAAAAAAAAAAAAACGTGTCAGCTGCCAGTTCTGAAAGTTCTTTCTGACTCTAGACTCTTAAATCAAGCTCGGGAATGAATAAAGGAGTCTCCTGAATAACCTGGAGAAAGCTATGTTCCAGCTTCTTTCCTCCAGCCGTTCTTCATCATTTCCCACACGCTGTTATCAGACTGAATAAAACTCTTTATGGTAGTGTACCTAACCTTGTTTATCAGAAATATGATGTGCTCCCATTCTCTCCACAGTCTTGTAAAACATATTGTGTACAAATCAAGCCACAACAATGTTATCTTTTTAAAACTTTTCAGAAAGAGCCCTGTGAGACACTATTTGATGATTTGGGCTGAGAGTGAGTGTGGTCCTTTCTTTTTCACTTTTATCTGAAAGAGCTGAACCAAAGATGAGACAGAGGCCAAAAATACATGATAGAATCAAAGTACTTTAAAGCCAGGCACTGCATATGGATTTTATTGTCCCATTTTTTTTGAGCTTTGAAAGTTAGGTACCCCAGCTTTAATGTGTAATTTCTAGCACTTAATGGTCTAGCAGGTTTGTTTCACAGTGCACATTTATTATACTATGAACTCTCATTGTGTATTTAATATGGTATTTTAGCATTTTGGTTGTTTTGGCTATTTACCCACGTATTCCAACATTGTTTAAAACTATATCTGATTCTATACATATACTATACAGATACAATGAGGGCCATAACCCATAAAAATGTAGCTGCACAATGCCCCTTCATGCGCTTGCACAGGTTTGGATGCATCAGGATGTCTTGTGGAGAATGTTGCCAGGGGAGACCATGCAGCCCAAGCCCCCACACGTCCTCCCTCTCTTGCGCCTCTGCTCGCACTTTGGAGGTGCATCCGTAATGAACCCAAACTATTTCTGGAAAACGCGCGAAGACCCTTCAATTGCGCGTATAGTCCCCGTGTTCTCCTGCAGCCACACGAGCTTGTTTCATGCTCACATCAAACGGGAAAACAGTCGGAGTTTTGTTCGAGGGGATAGGAAGGGGGAGACGGGGGAGACAGCAGCGAGGGAGCGAGTTTTCTTTTCTTTTCTTTTTATTTATTTTTTACTGCTGAGAGATGCATCGCTGTGAGAGGCATTGCCACTTCTCACGTCTCTAAGAAGTGAATTTGCCCGTCTTGTGCATCTGTTCTGTTTATTGGTGGTAACTTTCTCTCCTCTATCTATTTCTCTCTCTCTCTCACTCATTCCAGTCTCCTCTTTCTCCAGTGTCCCCCCCCCCCCCCCTCTCTCTCTCCAGTCTTTCCTCATTCTCCTGTCTCTCCTCTCCAGTCTCCCCTCTCGCTCTCTCTTTCTCTCTCTCTCTCTCTCTCTCTCTCTCTCTCTCCCTCTCTCTCTCTGGTTGAATAAATGACGCTTCTAGCAGAGGGGATAAGGGGCTGAAACTCCGCGCACAGTGATTCCCAGGCTGTGACTCATTCATTTTGAATTGCTTGCGCGACCGGTGGAGAGCTCCCCCTTCACAGAAACAGCCAGTGTAATTAGCTGGACCTCACGTTGGGAATTATTTTGCACTTTTACTTTTCTAATCTCTTTTCATTCTTTTGTGGAAATGCTTTGCGTCGTTGGAAAGAGCTGGACTATCCACTACATGGCCCGGTGTAGTTGTCTTGAAGAATGTCCCCGACTTCTGCCGGTCTCCACATATAACAAACCTCGTATTTAGTCCTGTTCCCACCATCTGCATCTGCATTTCTTGCCTTGTCTTGTGTGTGCGTGCATGCTTGGTGCGTAAAGCTTTTGTGCGCTCTCCTTCTCCTGGCTTTGAGGTAGCATTTCTTTTGCGTATGGAAGAATAGCGTGTGATGGAATAGTCTTCACTATTCAACAAGCTGTGGCTCTTACTCCATGAGCTCCCACCATCTCTCTTCAGCCGTGCGAGTTGACTCTTCTCCTCGGTGACGACCATGGGCTCGTGTTCTGCACATTACTAAAGACGCGTATCTCTAAAGTCAGTTTTCTTTCTTTTCAAAGCAACAATGGCTCTATGTGAGATGAGGCTCATCTGGGGAGCGTTTTGCCTTGTGGTGGAATTGTCGTTGGCACAGGAGACTTACGCACCCCACTCCATACGGACAGACGGGCATCTGACGCTCGGCGGGCTCTTCCCTGTGCATGCGAGGGGGTCCGATGGCATCTCGTGTGGGGACTTAAAGAAAGAGAACGGGATCCAGCGTCTCGAGGCGATGATGTACGCCTTGGACCAGATAAACCAGGACGATCAGCTCTTACCCAACATCACCCTTGGCGCGCGGGTTCTGGACACTTGCTCCCGGGATACGTACGCGTTGGAGCAGTCATTAACTTTTGTCCAGGCCCTGATCACCAAAGACACTTCTGACGTCCGCTGCACTAACGGAGACCCGCCGGTGTTTGTGAAACCAGAAAAAGTAGTGGGAGTCATCGGAGCATCGACAAGTTCTGTATCGATCATGGTCGCCAACATCCTACGCCTCTTTCAGGCAAGTCTTTAAAAATAGAAAAATACATAGGAGATCGTAACAGGCCAGGCTATACTGTGATGATCACTGCATGTATGGACCCGTATACCACAGCCACAGGACATACTGTATGCGTAAAGCTGCCTATTTTTAATTCTTATACGTGTTGTCTTATGATCATAATGACCTATTATTGATAATGAATGTAGGCTAATTAGAATGTCCATGCCTACTCAGTTTGGCTCGACAAATGATATTATGTAAGGGGTAAAGACCATTAAATGTAGTTTGGGCTCAGAAAATACCACGCTCCTCATTATACCCATAATCGGCTTATGCTGGTAACCATGTCCACATATCTCCTATGCGTTATTATAACTGAGTAATGCGTGCACAAGCTCTCCCAGTTGACTCCACGGATGGAGACAGCTGAGCGCGCGGTGGTGTCCCCGTGGTGCTGAAAGAACAGCTCCCGTCTGTTCCGCTCTCACTATAAGGGGAGGAGGAGGAGGGAGAGGAGGAAGAAGAAGAGGAGGAAGAGGCGCACTGACAGCCTGACACACCATCACACCCTCAAACTGCTCTGCCCCCTCGTGAAAACACACATGATAATATACGGGCAAGTTGGACCTGAGGCACTGCATGGAATTGAGAGCCAATAGTAAAGGCGTTTGGGAGTATAGTGTGTTCTAGTGCTTGTTATGCATGCTCAAACTGTCGTAGGACCAATTCATGCCGATCATAGTGAGTATAAAAGCCTGGGCCTGGGTTATGATGTCCTCTTGTATTGTATTAATTATGTAAAAATATGCAACCTATATTCTAGTACAATTTACAGAGCAATCCTGACTGTAATATCAAAACGGGTGTAAATGCATATCTTTTCTGGACTCTCAAAGATGCCTCACATGGCCTTATTCATTCACTCTAGACTATAACTGAATAGCCACAGCTTTGGTCGTTTATAACAGCAATTCCCAAAGTCCAGAGCACCTCTTGCATACATAACAATTCCCAGGGCACTTCCACTCACACATTTTCAACTACCCTGGGGCAAATTGACAGAAGCAAGGCAACCAATATGTGCCAGCAGCCCCTCCGATCACCACTAACCCTTCATGCATACCTGACTCGAGTGTCTTGCCTAAGGACACAGCAACAGTTTGACACTTCACAGCCTCAAGTCGCTCCACTGTGGCATCGTGATGTTCCCAGAGGTCTCTCATCACAGTGCTAACCAGGCCCTGCCGTGCTTAGCTCCCGAGGCTTGCCATTGGTCTGTTCATTGGTCTTTCCTGGTAGAGGGTCTGTGTTTTGCTAGGGTCCATCTAAGAGTGGTTTTGTCTGGAATGTTGCACTTTTTGGCATTTCCTATCTCAGTTGGAGATAAGAAAGTTACTTGGCATATCTGCGGAGAGGGGAGCCAAAGATATGAATGTTTTTTTAAGCAGTGGAAACATGTACGGAAACATGTACGGAAACAGCACCAAGTTCTTTTTATTTCACGGGCAGCACAGTGGCACAGTGGTTAGAGCTTTTTTGCATGTTCTCCCCATGTCTGTGTAGGTTTCCCCCAGGTGCCAGGTTTCCTCTAGCACTAAAAGCATGTACAATAGGTCTTGTATGCACATCCTTATGGTTACCACACTCCTATTTCTGCGTGTGGAGTGAGAGACGATCCCCCCTGGGTTAAAAGATTTATTGATTGCGAGTTTTGTTTGTTGTTTATTAGTTTGACGAACCTAGACACTGGTGGTGGCCACAGGACAAGGTGGATGTGAGTGTGTGAAGAAATCCTGAGGTGGAGGTGGATGCGGTTTGAAAAGGCTATTTGGTGTGCGGTGTCCAGCTTTTAAGCGCTGGCTTGATTAGCGCGGCTGCAAGGAGTGGATGAAGCTGAATTAATTTCTGTAATTCATCCATAGACTGAACCTCAACTCAAAACATACCAGTATATGACATAGACCCATTACATTTAACCCTTTATTGGTTTCCCTAACCATTTGATCTACCTGAAGCTTGGAACTTAAATCTACTGAAAAGTTTTCCCATCAAACTGTATCTTAACAATTGGGTTAAGACCTAAAAATAAGTAATAGAGGTTTGGAAAAAAAACATATTCCTAAAAAAATAATTAAAAGAGGAAAAATACATTGCTTTCTTCAATGAGTGAATATTAAAGGGTTAAAGTGACCATTTGACGCTTATGGTTTACAGTCCCGAATCAAAATATCCTAATTTTCTGTGGTTGGTGGAAGTAAGTAACCTGGCAAAAGCCAGATTGATGATTGTGTAGAACTCTAACGCGTTCTCCGCGATATCAATCTGGGATTTCTCCCGGAGAATCCTTTCGGGGAAAGGAGGGATAAGCAGCAGAATACTTGAAGCTGATTGGGCGAAGTGACGCTGTGTGCCCGCCTACCAAGGTTGCCGTCCAGAAATGTACAAAGCGCCTCTCGCTGTTCATCTTTCAAAAAAGAAATTGGAGATTCTGCTAAAACTGACTTTGCGTCCGTCCTCCTGCGTAGCCATGTTTGTTTTGCTTCGGCCCGGCACTTCTTGCTTTCGTCAAACCCGGATATCCCGCCCTAAACCCCCAGACTGGCACGTGATTGGCTCGCACACCCAGTGGTTCGACTCGAAAAGTGTAAGCGGGAGCGGTACAAGATGTATTCTCGAGTGTTTGTGAACTCACAAATACCGCGAGAATTCAGCTTGCAGGCAAGGTTAGGAAGTAAGTGCCTTGGATTTCTCACCAGGCAGCTTAAAGATGTAATTGCAGTGGTCCTCCAGAGTAGTGGGTGAAAGTAAAAGTTTTTTTGGGGAGGGATATGAACTTGTTTCCAACTCTTTAGCACTGTAATGGAACTTAATAGCTGCAATTAACCAGAATAGATGTACAGTGTGTGTTCGCAGAAGGCTGTATCTGCGTCTGTGTGGAGCACGTCTTCTCGCTCGGGCCCAGAGCTGATGGCGGCTCGAGCTGCATTTGAATGAGAGGCACAGCAGGGCAGCCATACACAGCATTAAATATTGAAAACGCATCGCAAAGCAAAATAACTGATTACTGGGGATACAGCGAGGTGCAAATTGGGGTTGATGTAGAGGTAAAAAAAACGGAAAAAAGCCATGATTCGGCAAAGACAAAGTTCGGCTGAAGTAACAGTTGTACATCTTGTTTGTTTATAATCTATCTGTAAAAGCTCAGTAGTAGTTTCTGTCTGTCTGTGTCCAAGCTAATGAGTGATGTCACAATGCATATGTTCTAAAAAACTCTATATAGAACCAGATAAAGTGGAAAATGGAAGAAGAAGCAACACCACAACGACTAATATTGACTGAATTCCACAAAATAAAAGGTGATGCTCATAACGTCAGCTGTATTTCATTCACATACTTCCCACTGCACAAGGTGTCAAAAAAATATTTTATACAGTGTTGGCAATTACTGTGGTTCCTCAATATAAAACGCGTCACTTTTCGCTGCCTTTTACTGTTTAGTAGATGTTTTTGCATATTTTTTTGGCTATTATTTATATAGCGAATTTCTCAGACAACGGTCACACAAAGCCCGACAGAAGCAAGACGCCCAACGCACTGGCCCATCAAAACCCCTAGCCCTCATTACATTCAGACCTATTGTACATATTTTTTCTGCAAAAAGTAAAAACTGTAGCACCTGGAGGAAACCTACACAGACACAGTGAGAATATAAACACTGCACAGAAAAGCCTGGAGGTGGAACCGAAAAGCACGGACCCCACAGCCTCCATCATACTTTCATCTCTCTCTGAACCACAACATACGCATGTGTAGAGACACATGCTCTCCCCGTGTCTGTGCAGGTTCCCTCCAGGTGCTCCGGTTTCCCCTACCACTAAAAACATGTACAATTGGTCTGAATGTGATGAGTGAGTGAATGGATGGTGTTTGGCCTGAGACTTAGATGTGTTCGTCATCATCATGTGGAGAGAATGGAAAAATATCTGAACTCTGAACTTTCTCAAGCTCTTGGTCTATAAAATGCGCTATATAAATAATCATTACTTACTCACTGACTTACCTCATCGAGAGCTTCTTTGGTGTGCGATACATCCAGCCTTTTTGATTTGTTTATAGTGTATTAGCGGAGACATTTACAATATTGTTGGTCTCAATGTGTGGGAGGAGAGGAGTTGCTGTACTTGTAAACTTATGGTGATGATGTTGTTCATGATTTGTGGTTGGAGGTTGTAACTCGCAGCCTGTTGTTTTGTCTGTTCAATTAAGCCGACCGTTGGTTTTGGCTTTGAGGAGCTGTTTAAGTGCTAGAGCAAAGTGCTTAACATGCTATTAGTGACCTGGCTTTCTTCTTTCTCTCACGGTTTTTATCTCCGTTGAGGTTTGGCGGTTCCATTATGCATTATGTGTGTAGAGTATAGAGTAACGTTTAAGTGCTCTCTATTATGAAAGAAGAAAGGTATATACGCAGAAGGTGTAAAAAATCATAGCATTTTGTCAATAAAGAATTCTCAAGTGTTGTTCTGCCGTCAAGATGTGTGTCTTCTTGGTTTGCCTTAGTATAAAAGCCTCAGATTCAGATTCATTTATTTGCCATTTGCAGTAAAACCACATTGCCTAAACCTGATCTAATTATCTTTCTAAATGTGTGTGTGGAAATATCCATCCATCCATTTTCTTCCGCTTTATCCGTTGCCGGGTCGCGGGGGCAGCAGTCTAAGCAGAGACGCCCAGACTTCCCTATCCACACACACCTCCTCCAGCTCGTCCGGGGGGACCCCAAGGCACTCCCAGGCCAGCTGAGAGACATAGTTTCTCCAGCGTGTCCTGGGTCTTCCCCGGGGCCTCCTCCCGGTGGGACGTGCCCGGAACACCTCCCCAGGGAGGCGTCCAGGAGGCATCCTGAACAGATGCCCGAGCCACCTCAACTGGTTCCTCTCGACGTGGAGAAGCAGCGGCTCTACTCCGAGCTCCTCCCGTGTGACCGAGCTCCTCACCCTATCTCTAAGGGAGCGCCCAGCCACTCTGCGGAG